TGAGCTTTCTCGTAAGCCGCAATAGCCTCGGGCATCAAAGACTTCAAACGATCATACTCCTCCTCAGCGTTCTGAATCTCGTTCGATAGCAAGTCCTTCAGGAGCTCCGTATTAGCTTGAAGCTCTTGAGCATAAATCTGGAGGTCAACCTCATCTTTCTTCTTGGAGAACTTCTCCTTGACAGAGGTTAGGATCTTGTTGTAAGCATCGATGACTTCTTTCTTCCCACTCCTAACAGCAAGCTTGACCTCAGCCTCTTTGTTCCTCTGGCTAACTTGAGCCGATACGATCAAATCCTGGACATGCTGCTCCGCGATCTTACGAGCACTCTCTAACTCAGAAATTTTCCTACTCTTCACTCTGATATCGATCTCCATGCTCTCGATTTTCCCTTGCTGAGTATCAGACTTCAAACCGAGCCTCCCAACTTCGGATTGGAGTCTCGAGACCTGAGCTCTGGCTTGATCTCGCTCAACCTTGATAGCTTTAACCATCTCAGTGACCTGGGCTAACTCTTCAGCGTTAGGCGCGTTACTCACTGCCTCCTCGAACTTTAGCTGAGCCTTGTTGATAGCTCCAGCCAGCTACCAAAAGATAAACAGCCAAATAAATATCTATCCAAAGCGATAATAAGAGACTAAAGACTCTTACCTGACCCATATAATGAGCGATATCGATGAACTCATCCCTGTTAGTGAGACTGCTCACTGGAGGGAGGGAGCATCCTGTCTGCTTCATATGCCTCATTAAAGTCGCCAAGCCCCAGGGGTCATCGAGAATCGATCCAGGCTTCGAGTGAGAGAAATTCCAACCGACGGTCCCACCCCTCGAAGAAGAGGAGGAGGACCTGGAAGGTCTGTCACTTTGATCGGCACGCGACCTCTTGCTCCTATGAGGCTCAGTCTCGGGAGGTTCCTTAGCCACCAGAGTCTCGACTTCCGTGACCTGAGCTGTAGAACGGGGAACCACCTCCTGAGCTACCTCCGTCTCCATGACATCAGCATCCTTAGCTGATACCCCATCATCAAGGACCTCCTTTACAGAGCTAAGGAAGGAGCCTCCTTGATTCTTCTCGCTTCCTCGCGAAGTACTGGCAGCTTTCGAAGGCCTACCCCTAGCTCGGAATGACGGTTGGAGNCCGTGACCTGAGCTGTAGAACGGGGAACCACCTCCTGAGCTACCTCCGTCTCCATGACATCAGCATCCTTAGCTGATACCCCATCATCAAGGACCTCCTTTACAGAGCTAAGGAAGGAGCCTCCTTGATTCTTCTCGCTTCCTCGCGAAGTACTGGCAGCTTTCGAAGGCCTACCCCTAGCTCGGAATGACGGTTGGAGAGGCATCTTCTCTGATTTGGTTTTCTCTGTTCCTGAGGTGCTAGCTTCCGTTGAAATCGATACTACGGAATTACCTTCAGAGACTGCATTACCAAATCCACTTTAGCGATCAGCAATCCCAAAACAAACTAGTATATGTCAAAGACATAAGAACAAACGTATTACCTTCTAAATCTGTAACTGGTACGGGATCTAAGAAGGAAGCGTGGTAACGGTCCGGAAACCTGGCCGATCCAATTCGCGAAGTGGTGTACGACGCCCAAGTGCAGGGAGTCTGATGCAGCTTTCGGAAAAGAGCTCTAGTAAGCTTGTTTGGGAGCTCAGCAGGATCTTCAATATCTGCAAAAACAAACAAACATTCATTAGACTATAACCAATGAGAAATCAACGAACTCATTCCTAACAGATCCTAACCGGACGCGTCAGACCATGAAGCCCTAAGTGTACGACCCGCCGGGACCGTCAAAGGATCGATCTTGACATAGAAGTACTTCCTTCTCCAGTCATCATCACTACTGGAAAATTTGAAAATACCCAGCCTGGGACGACTGGCGAGGTAGTAAGTCCCGCTACCACCCTCTTTAGAAGCACTCTCCTTTATCGAGAATAGGCTCATTAAAGAGCTCAACCCGGTAGCAACTCCCTCCTCCTTGGACCTGGTGATAAAACCGTTTATCACTCGAATGACGGAGGGACAAAGCTGGGAAAGGGCTAGTCGATAATGATCCAAGAGATCTAACAGCAGGTCTGGAAGGGGAAACCTAAGGTGGCTCTTGGAAATGTAGTTCTCATGAACACAAAACCAACCCTCCGGGGCCATCTCGGGGGTTTCTTCAGGCTTACAAGCTCTGGCCAATTCCTTCTGACCCTGAGCTTGAACCATAAGGTTCACGATCTCTTGGCTCCTCAAAACAGAGGGCAGATGAGACCCGGAAGGTACGACCCCACTTGAACCTCCGGTCCTCTTTGTCCGTTTGGAGACTCTTTGGGCTATCGAATCTTTAGCCTTCTTCTTCCTCTCGGTTCTTTTCATGGATTCGCCGACTTCTTGTTTCACTTTCATAAGCCGAGCACCCGAAGCGGAGATTCCTGTTTCTCCGGAACCTTCCTTTGGTCGGGTCATATCGAAAACGATGAGGGAAAGTAAAGAGAGAAAAAGAAAGATCGAGCAAAGTAAATCTAAACCTTCGGAGATAACAAGTTCGGGGGAGGAAACTCGAAGATTTAGTCAAACCGAAATAAACAAAAAAAAAGAAACCTGTAAAGAAGTTAAATAAAAAGAAGGGACAAGAGGAGGTTACCTGAGGAAACCGAATCGCGATGTGGAGAGAGTGGGGAAGTTGAAGTTAATGCGAGCAGCTTTATATCCCATCGAGGCCTCGAGAATCGGGGAATAATTATTTCAAATATTCTTTTAAACTAAACCGTCGATTTCGTTAGATTTAATCACAACCGTCGGATCAAGCAAGAGATATGCTCGAGAGAAGATCACGGGTGATCATTATCTTAACAAAATTAAAAGATTCGGCGGCTAGGTTTAGCTCCCGAGAAAAGCATCTTATCTCGAAAGCTGGGGGCAACTGTTGGGCCCAAATATGGCCCGTCAGCTGAAGTTAGCGAATTAGTTAAACCAAGCCCAATAATGGGCCGGATATGGGTTAATACCGCGAAGAAGAATACAGCTCACCTAAGGAAGGGAGCTGATCTCGAGAAAGAGGTCACGAGAAAGAGGTCACGGAGAACAGGTCTGGATTCTTTCGTAGGGACCTGACAAAACAGCCTAGGTAACGGAGATAGAAACGTGCAAGACTTAGTCAAGGGGAAGCTGTTGCAAATCCCGCAACTCACGGAGATAATCACGGAGGCNCTCCAATACATTTTATTCTTATTCGTTCTCCATTATTCTCTGTATTCAGATCGAGGATCATCTTTGTAAACTCTTTTATTACCAAACATCAATATAAACAACGTATTCATTCTCTAAGTTCTTAAGGGATTCAGCCCACGATTATCTTCTCCCCAATCCTAACCTAACCTCAATTAGAAAGTGAGTTTTACCCCTCACAATATGCACCCATCAATGCCTCACTATTAAGTTTGACTAATTCACTTCAGATTCTCTCTTTGGATGTTTATAAAGATATGGAAAGCCTCATTCGCAGCCCTCACCACAAGTCGTGAAAGCAACATGCTTATTGCTTAATCAAATATATCAGTTTCCTATTTCCGTTATTATATATATGATGTGCGAAAGAACCTCTTCTAGTATCCATTTCACAATGGTATTCAAAGCTTGTCTATATGCATGATCTCTCTTCTTCTTCATTCTCACTTTTACTCCTTAAAAGTAGCAATCCAACATGGCCAGGGAACCAACACAAACTGATTGGTCCAAAGATTTTTAAGAAGAAAAAAACCTAACGTGCTAACAGTTTTCTCAACATGACCCATGTTGAGCACTAATATATATGTATTTCTCCACTAACCTGGGAATTTCCAAGAAACACAAAGCTTGATATATTTTTTAATCAGAATCTAACAAAACTGAATATATTTCACATAGTTTTGTTTAGACACATACATAGAAACATCTATCAAAATTCAGATGAAATTGGGTTAACGACATGACGATTGGACACTAAAACTCATAATTAAATATGGACTGACCAGTCCGAGAAACCATGAATCTGTGAAGAACATTAAGAAATCGTTAAATTCATCAGCTACATGATACATCATCCATCTATGATCTAAATCTATAAGCAATTAAGAATTGAGAATAAGGCCAACCTTTTTATTGTTGATCCTTAACCTTTTCGACGATTATGTTGAGAGGAAGTAACTTTGGAGCTTAACTTATTTGTTGTCCCTCGCAATGTTGTTCATCTTCTAGGAGTCTAGGAACTCACCTCAACACGATCAATAAATAAGTTTCGAATATCAATGAAAATATTATTTGAAATCTGCATAAAAAGGGAAACATGTGACAATGTTTTGAAAATATTATAGGAGATGAAACAAATCGCAAAATTTATCTCTCTTTTTATTCCTTCCAGTCCCAACCACTCTCTCACAAACCCACCAGACACATGACTGAGCCGTCGAATGTTTTACCCAAATATCTTAAGCTTTGACGCCGAGTCTTGTTTTGAGCTCATCAGCAACTGCATCGATGAACTCCTCCGTGTTCAGGTAAGTGTCCCTCGATAGCCTTAAGAAAAAAAACGAAAAAACAAACATAAATAAATAAATTTTTGATGGAACCCAAGAGCAGAAGAAGAAGAAGTCTCGTTGACTTACTTTGAGCCGTGAATGATGAGAGCAAGATCTTTGGTCATTTTTCCAGATTCCACTGTACCGACACAAGCAGCTTCAAGCTTCTCAGTAAACTCCAAGAGCTTTGAGTTGTCATCTAACTTAGCCCTATTCAAAGAGAGATTTGCATTCATTCAAGTTATTATAATCTGCTGCTTCTTTAAACAACTATTAAGCGTGAAGGATAGTTTTCTCCCTAACCAGTGTGCAAGTCCACGAGTCCAAGCAAAGATGGAGGCTATGCTGTTTGTGCTGGTCTCGCCACCTTTCAGGTGAACCCTGTAGTGACGGGTAACGGTTCCATGAGCTGCTTCAGCTTCAATTGTCTTCCCCTCCGGGCAGACCTAAGCAAAGATAACACAACCGTTGTAAAGACAGAAACGTAGATTCAACAACTCAAAGAAAACATGAAACAGAAGATTAAGCCACGATATATACCAGAACAGATGTCATCAGCCCAAGAGACCCGAACCCTACGCATATTATAAGAAACTATTAGCTAGCAGCAGAATATGTGAGACAGACATGAGCACTTAGCATATATATTCATTTATCATCACACAAACCTTGTGCCAGGAAATCGCTTTGGACATCACCATCATAGTTTTTGCATGCCCACACATACCCTCCCTCGCTCTTCAAAGCGTACGCCACCATATCATCAATGAGACGGTGCTCATACCTAACCGATTCAATCATTTAAATCCTTCTCGATCAAAGGGAACACATATAAGATACAATGATCCAATAATTTAGGCGACTCACCATATTCCAGCAGATTCTTTCTTAACAATCTAAGGAAACTTGACTATGGAGGAGGCGATTAGGGATCGAAAGTTGATGCGGCGAAATCGAAAGGAAACAATAACTGGAAGGAGATCGCAGAGACAAACCAATTGGTTTTTTTATTTCTCAGACATAAAGCGGGTTGACGTGGCAATTTAGAGACTTTTGATTGGGTGAATATTTGTGCCCACGTGGACAAGCTCATTTGGCTTTATTTGCCCCTTTTATTCATATTCATATAATAATATATATATATACTAGGGTCTTTGTCCGGGCTACGCCCGGGTAAATTTCTTCTTAGAATTTTTAATTAATTTTAGCTTATTTTTTTTTATAAAAGTATGTATATATATTATTTCAAATTTGACTACCTAAAATATAAGTAATAGTATTCAAATTAATTTATTATGTTGTCCAATGAATTTGAAATGAATGATTGGTAATGATGGTATACACTTTTTTCTAAAGAATTTTTATTTTTTTCAAAAAATCATGTTTTAGCTTTGAAAATTAAAAATATGGTATATAGTTTTTTTCTTACAAAAATATATAGCAGAACAATTAAAACCGAAAAAAAATTTCACAGCTTATTTTCTAATATAAAAACAAAAACTACATAACAACGAATCAACCCCTCACTCTTTGTTGTTTATTTATTATTAAAATTAATGGAAAGTGATAAATAGTCAATATTCTTAAGTTTCAGCTAAAATTTAAATCCACATTTAATTTTAAACTTTTTATGTATTTAGAATTATTGATTTTACATTTTCAATTTCTTCCCTCTCTACGAAAAATACAAACTGATATATAGAGGCTGTTTGCATTGTTTATTTTAAATAATAAATAATTCTATCTATATAATTAATTTACCGGTATACAATATTGATTTGATACACTAACAAAATTGTTTTGTCAAGAAGACTAAAAACTAAAATTTTTAGCTAAAGGTTAAGAATTTTTCTCGATAAAATTTCAACGGAATTAAGAAAAATGAAATTGCTTTATATGGTTGGTGATTAAAATAGATGATTTAAATCGGGTTTTTTACCAAACCAAACTATGTTATGATAAAGAATAAACTGGATAAAAATAGCAAATGACAAAGAATGTTACTTTTTTGTCAAAACCAACTTATGGAAACACATTATAAATAAAAATAAAAGACAAAACCAAACTAATCTAAATATATTTTTTTAAACACCACCCAAAAATTAGTCTTCATCTTTTTTCTTAGCCTTCTAGCTTTCTTTTACTTCTTACCATCACTTTTGTCTTTAAACCACAACCAACTACGCTGCAACAGATGAATTTATTTTTATTAAAAAAACAATCACTCTGTAAAGGTGAATCTGATACAAACAAATCGACCTTTGAAGATTATTCACAGGAAAAATGCTAATGAGAAGACCAAATAGATAAACACTTAAGCAAGTCGTAAAATTATTAAAAATAAACAATCAAAGATAGAATTAAAATCTCAACTCAAGAGCAAAGAAGATAGCATCTTTAACTTTAAAATTTCCTGAAGAGCATCCAGTTTAGATGAAACTTGAGTTCAAGCTCTTGGTTCCCTCAGCCGTTGTCAATGCTCCGGATTTCTACAAATAAATCAATCAAAAGTTCTTGTTTCCATGTTATAAAGAAACAAAATTCTCAGTATTTTGAATGAAAAGAGTTAGAAAAGAAAGTAATTGGTGTATTGGACATTGTAAAAAATCCAGGAAGCTTTTATTGTTGACAACTATATATGGTTGAGAGTGATTCTTGAGAAGTTTCAGTTCCTCCTCTATCCCCTGAATATGAGTTTCAGTACGTAAGCCAATGTAGGAAACTCATGAAGCAATCAGCTGACTGTAGAGAAAGAACCATCTAAGATAATGTGATGAGAGAGATAGGGTACCACAATATTAACAAAAAAACATGTTCGTTTATTAGCAAATTAACCTGAGTTTTTTTTCCTTGGAAGCCATGCAATCAGAACCTGGAAAGAACTAAAAGCACGTTAAATCAACAGCTACAATCATTAGAGTCAAAACCATAACGAAAAGTAGAATCATGTGAATAATCTAAGAAGTAACATGATAGGTTTTACTACATATTTAGAACGAAATAGCTTGTTAATTTTATTGATTATTGAAATGGAATCTGCAAGAGAAGAGTCGAATAGCACTTTGACACAACAGAGCTAAGACTTTATGACTATAGGCATACACCAAAGCTATACACATCACATTTCCTGTTGTAAGGCTGTCCTTCAAAAACCTATGCACCCACCTCCAAAAGTCAATACTTTTCTTTCACAGTTACGAAACACAAAAGGGATCTATACAAATAATACCTCGGGTGACATGTATCCAAGAGTTCCAGTTTCACCAGTCATGTCTTGAGGGTTCTGAGCCTCGACTGTAGCTACTCCGAAATCAGAAATCTTGAGCGTCTTGTTAGTTTCCAACAACATGTTCTCTGTCTTCACGTCCCGATGTACAACCGCCTTGGAGTGGAGGTAACTCAGCCTGAGACAGGAAAGGAATAAAAGAAAAAGGTACAAGTCTTGTCATGAAACTTTTGTTCTGTCTCGAGATTGATTTAAATTCCACATAATGTTAATTTTTTTTTTTACGGAAACCAAAAATCTAAGACGATCAAATAAAAAGAAACCAATTCATCAAAAGTTGGAAAAACTTTTGATAATCTTTTAAACAAAGAGAATCTTACATATTGGAAGAGCTGGCTTATGATACTCTGGAAAAGCTCTTGCACCATAGGAGGTGGTCCTTTTCCTTGAGCGTACACAAGGAAAGACGGCGAAGATGGGACTTGTAAATCATCTCTGCTCAAGTAAACACAGTTCCAGATTCAAGCATCAAATTCATCACAACATATCGTCAAGTTGAAAATTTTCACCTGATGGACCAAACTCCTTGAGCAGAGGGAGTCTCCGGCGTCCAGAGATTCTTGCCAGAGTATGCAGCCTTCAAAGGTGAGCTCTTCTGTTTTTTTTTCTGTCGCTAAATAACTTCACCGTCTTTCTGCAAACATAACTAACTTTAAAATCCCTAAATTAACCCTAAGATTTCGTGAAGAAGAAACACTACCTTGAACGAAGAGGGAGAGAAAGCTTCTGAGAATCGAAGAAAGAGACGTTAGGACTCACACAGACGAATCCGATTGTAAACCTGAGGGAAGAAGCCGATGTGGAGACTCAAGCGTGAGCCATCTTCTTGCTACATTTATAATTAGAAATCGTTATTTGGGTTGATACTTTGTTCATAGATCCAGAGTTAGGAAGGCGAAAGGAACCCATTAAAGAGGGATTCATGGCAAGGGGGTTTGATTACTGGGAAAACTGAAGAGAAATTTGATCAACTCTTCCGAGGAAGTCGAAAGGTGTGAGAAGAGATGAGTTCCTAGGATACTCACTCCGCTTCGACAAAAGAAAACAAATTAAAATTCGGACACAAAGCAAACCGACTTGCGGTAATAAACCAAACCGGGTCCGAATTGGCAATTACATTACGCAGAGTCAAACCAATTCGCACTTGGTTTTATCAGAGACAAACCATGATGACGTGGAGATTCTAAGCAATCTGATTGGGTAAATATTTTTGTCGACCTGGCAGTGTAAGGAGGCTTTATTTGCCCCTTTTATTTATAGCCATAGGAGATAGTAGATGATTTTCGCCATTCCACACTTGAGATTTTATGGGCTTTCTTTTCTTTAATGGATGGTCACTAATATTCGCCACAATAGCCGGCGGCCGATACGTTCCCGACGTGATAAGGATGCAACCATACATTTACTCTGTTTTCCCTTCTCCATTGTCGATGATCAATTTTAACTTTTTTTTTGCCTATTTTGATCTTTCTTTTCGGGTCAATTCTATTGAACAAATGTCATGTGAATATGGTTTCTGAGATTAGCTTCCATGCGTATATTTGCCTTCAGGGAACTCTGTTTCTGCTATTACCCTTGTGAGATTAGCTTCCATAGTTGCTGGAGAAAAGGCTAACTCCTACTTAACCACTGCACATTGTCTCTTGGTAAATAAACAAAAGAACTTAAAATTTATCAGCTATTCATTTCAGGCTTTGTTTATTCTCTATTATGTTTCTTTGTAGTTGTTGTTTTAGCAGGCAGTCCTCGAGTTGAGGTTGAAAGAACTGGCTGTGGCGGTGCCGCCGTTGATGTGCTGTGCTGCGGATATGATCTCTGGAAACAAGTTGTGTTGGTTGGTTCTAAGTCTTCTTCAGTCGGTAGACTTCTCATCTGATCCGAGGCCAAGCATCTCTAAAGGCGCACAAGATTTGGTGCAGAAAATGCTTGTGCGTGCACCCCAACGGAGATTAACTGCACATCAAGTACTGTGTAAGTCATTCAAGTCAAAGCATTCGTCTTGAACATGAGCATATAGTTTTGTGTTTGGACTTCATCCTTCTGCTTCTCAACAAGTTTGGTTTCTGAAAACAGGTCATCAATGGGTTCAAATTGATGGTTTGGCTCCAGATAAACCTCTGGACTCTGCTATCTTTAGCCTTATGAAGCAGTTTTCTGCCATATACAAGTTCAAGAAAATGGCTCTTAGAGTTAGTTGTCTTTCTAATGCTAAAAAAAAGATCCAAAAGAAAAGATAACTCAGACGCGGCTATGTATCTCCAACAGCAGTTAGTTTCAGCCCTGATGACTCTCTGATCACTTACTTGTTTAGCCCTGAAGAGAATTTGAATACGAGAGTGTACGGTTTTGATGTTGAAAAAGGAGAATTTAGTCTTGTGTTTAGTCCTCTTGATGGTGGAGTTGATGAGAGTAACATCTCACCGGAGGAGAAGCTGAGGAGAGAGAGGCTACGGGAGCGTGGTTTAGGTGTAACTCGGTATGAATGGGTTTAGACTAACTTGAAGATGAAGTTCATTGTTGTGCCTTTACCTGCTGGGGTTAGTTCTCTCTTATTCATGTTTCTTTATTTGTGTGAAGTCTAATCTTGAGACAAAACCTTGTTGTGACTAGGTTGTATATGAAGGATCTTTGTTCATCACCAAATCCGGAGCTCATAGTTCCAAGCTCACCCACTTCTCCAATCATTGATCCTCGTTTATCTCCTAATGGATTACTCCTTGCATATGTTAAAGACTCTGAGTTGCATGTTCTTAATCTGTTGAAAAACCAGACACAACAGCTAACAAACGGTGCTAATGGAACTACTCTGGTAAGCTAAAACCAATGATCTTCTGGTGTCATTAGTTTCATTTATGAGTAACTGATGATTTGTTTTGTTGCTGCAGACTCATGGTCTTGCTGAGTACATAGCTCAAGAAGAGATGGATCGGAGGAACGGGTATTGGTGGTCATTAGATAGCAAGTTCATCGCTTACACAGAAGTAGACTCATCACAGATACCTTTGTTCAGAATCATGCATCAAGGGAAAAGCTCTTTTGGTGCAGATGCACAAGAAGATCATGCTTATCCTTTTGCAGGAGCACTCAACTCCACGGTCTTATAGTTATCAGCATGACCGGTGTGATTATAACACTATAAGGACCAAGCAGTGTGTTGCCGTCATATGTTCTTGAAAATAATATGTTTTTACATTATAATTATCAACAATAGAACTTGATATAGTTCGTAATGGGTTTTGTTCCCACCGGATGTGGTTCCTCCGGGTGTGCATCCGAGTCCTGATGGTGCGGAAGTGGCGTGTCCTGTTTCTATAATGGAGTGGTTTATGAACTTTTGTGGTGATACTAAGAAGTGGAAGAAGAGGCCTGTTGAGTGTGTTTGCAAAGCTGGGGAGGTTATGTTTGTACCTAATGGATGGGGGCATTTGGTGATTAACTTGGAGGAATCTATTGCTATTAATTACTCAGAACTATGTTAGCAGTTAAAGGTTTCTTTCCCTATAAGCTCTTTAGTTTTTACATGTCTCGTACAATATATTAAGTAGACAACATATAAGATCAACAAATTTGAACCAAATGTGATGATTAGCTAACAACACAAGTTTACAAGTAACAAAGATCTGATGTAACTAGAATGTCAACAGTGTATTTAATGTGTATCTGTTACATCATTTGGTCTGTGCATAGGTTGCAGCAACTGTGGATTTATGGAATGTATTTGAGTTGGTCTTAACTAGAGGAACATTACTTCTGTGCAGGAGGAATCTATTGAATGTATTGGAGTTTCTGAAGAAACCAAATGCTAAAGAACTCGTCTCAGGAACAAACGACAGAGAGAATCTACATGACAAATTCAAAAAGGCCATTGAAGAAGCCTACCCTGGAACCATCCAAGAGCTACAGAACAAAGCAGAAGAAAAGAGACTAGCAGAAGAACAAAAAGTCACAAGAATATTTGACTATGTGGGATTCTTATTAGAAGAGTTGAAGCTTACTCTTTTGTATCTCTATCGAAGTGAATTACTATCACAACAAACCATTCATCCTGCTTGGCATTATCTGCTGTAACTCTTGCAGCAACCTACATAAAACATATGTCAATATTATTAGAAACCATGGACTTTCATGATCCGAAACAGGTTCCATGACAACCGTAATCTCGTTTTATCAAGTATCTTTGCTAGGACAGAGAGAGAGAGAGAGAGAGAGAGAGAGAGAGAGAGAGAGAGAGAGAGAGAGTTACCTTCTTCTGACTGTATCGGATCTCAAGCCTTCGAGCCTGGTAGTCTGTACAGTTGGAACAGGACACAAGCTCTCTGTAAGTCCCCGACGAAGGAAACCAAGCTTCCAAGTCATACTTCTTTGCAGCTGCATCGTTCAATGCTCCAGAGACGATGGAAACGATTTGGTATGGAAGGTTAAGCTGCATAGGAATCATCATACACACACAATAGCCTAATTAGAAAGCAAGTCATAAGATTTTCCAAAACTTTGAGAATATAGAAATCACCTCTTGGTAAAAATGTTCAGAGTTCTTCATCATCTCGTCAAAAGCATTTTCCACGAATCATTCTCGGTAGGACCAGTGATGCAGAACTGTGCACATTTAGCCATAACATCCTTCCTCATGAAGAAGGGAGGCTGCAACCCAGTGTAGCCTCTCTTCTTCAAAAAGGTCAGCCCAAAGTTGATCAGAGCTTGGTTAAGTAGCAATCTCAGCACCTGTGTTCACAATACCAACTCAATCAAACCCCAAAATAAGACCCACAACACAGTGATAAAACGTCTTAATCACAATGCTAGTACCTCTCTTGGTATCAGCAATGTCAAGAAGCTCAACTAGACCCACATGGTTTTTCAGCTTCATACCAGGGGGAGCAACAAGCTTCTCACCCCAAACTTTTGTCACAGCATTATTCGCCTACAAAAACACCATAACATGTACACTTGTATAAACCGGATACCAAATTAACAATGATTCAAAATAAACAATATGACGAAAAGTTCACATGCAATACATGATTCATGTTTAAGAAGTGACAAAAGAAGCTCCATTTGTTCTAAATATATATATATATGTGAATGTTTCAGAACACAGAAGAGATTTAAAACAACCTCTTGATGAGCAGACCTTCTTGTCCTACCAGTCTGCTGAGCAAGCCGGATTTTCTTCAGAACATACCTTTAGACAGCAGAAGCAGCAGAACATTATCCAAATTTTCAAAGAAACATCATTATAATCAAGCAATCCTGTGTTAAGGCGAATAAGTAGTTACAGTTTCTTCTCATGCTTATGTCTCACAAGATGAGCAGACCCAAAGGACCCTTTCCCTATTTGCTCAAGTACCTCGTAATGCTCCATTGACAAACTCTGAAACTCACCTCTTTTTTCGTCTACAGAATCTGCCACCATATGAAAATAAAAAGACACATTGTACGATCAGTTTACCCTTCCATCTTGTTTCTTGCAAAAGCAACACAAAACCGTTACCTCTCTGAAACATTATAACTATAACATGAAACAGAATGAAGCAAAAGCACTCAAGAACTTTCTTTATGACGTGTCATTTATGGGAAGCTCAGTCGGGTGGATCCTAACTTAAGTATTGAGAACCCTAAGCATCTAATAATAACTCCCTTAACGCGGTTTAAGTCTGCGTCCTACAAACCTAAACCCTAAGAAAAAAATCAAACTTTATCCTACGATGAAACTCTGTTCACATAATTAACGGTTCGAGGATCTATAAAAACTCCTAAACAATGTAATCATTGACAACTACAAACACTAAAAACAAAAAAGAAATTAAAGAGAGAGAGCGAGAAATGGTTCTTGAGTGTGTTCATATGGCGGTGGAGTTCAGTGTACGAGACTTCAGCGTCGGCTTTGCCTTGTGCTTCTTCATCGGAGCCCTTATAAGCTGCGTTAAGAAAGGGGGCGTGTTAACTTGGAGCTTTAGGGAGAATCCACAGACAGAGCAACCCTCCTCCGATCCGGCGGCGGCCGATAACGTTGATCTCCCTCTGGAGGATGCCACTATCGCTCTCGATGCGATTACGGTTGTGATGTGATGGATGTTATCGTCTGTTCTCTTTATATTCTTATTTGCTTTATATTACACTAGTATTTTCGCTATAGCACGCTTCAATCGATTGTTTCAAAACTTCATTTGATCATTGTATAGTTTTCGATCAAATATTATATGAACAGTGGGACATAATATAAGAAGTGATGTATTCAAACAAATCTAATGGAAGGGATTAAACAATCAACTATAAAGTATTAAAATATATATGTAAACATATATATATATATTAAATAAGAATAAACTTTAGTATTTTAATATATAGATTTATTTGTTATACAATTCAAGAATAACAAATACTAATTTAACTTACTATAAATTTGAATGTGATGCGTCAAATAAGTTTACTGTGTTTAATTGTTTAATATTCTACAGTTTAAAATAATGATTTCATTTACACTTCATGTTTAATTATATAATATATTTTCTTAAGAAACATATTTTCTTAAAAAGCAAATGTTTAAGCAAAATTAACCACATTACTTATTTTTAAGATTGGAATTCCCAAATTTAAATTCTTTTTATTAAAAATATAAAATGTTTCTTAAACTATTATTGAAGGCTTTCAAAAAAATTATTGTTTTATCTACACACATTGTAATGTTTTTAGATGGTCGTTAAAACTAATCAGTAAAAACCTGTCATATCTTGTGCTCTTATCATAAATCATACTATTCCATCAGTTGACTTATGACTCATCTTGATCAACGGTTCTCTTCTACATACTTATTTTTGACTTTATTCTAATACACCCTACAAACTCGGTTGTTTATTCTAAGAGCATCATTAACCCTAGCAACTCTAATGGGTAGCTTAATTATTTTTTTACTAATAAATGTGTGTTAAGCACTTTAGTTAAGATCCTTCTAATTTCTTGCCTCCAATGCAATTGCTTATTTTGGGTTCTTGTTTACTTGGAGAATGAAAGAAACATCTTGTGTTTCTTATACTTTGATTTCTTGTTTTACAAACATTTATACGTTGTAAGAGAATGACTATTTGTAAACATCTATACGAATTTAATGTATACATTTAACTAATTTTTTTTTAATGCTTAATCATTCCTTCCAATATAGAGTTCATGACCAAACTGGTCGTAATTCATAAACCAACTACTGCAAACATACTCCAGTACAGAGAAGGAGAAAAAAACAGTAGCTAATAAAGACATATCGATACCAGTAGGCACCAAAGTAATAAACCTTGAATTTGCGTGGTTCAGAATTCTTCGAAGAGGTAAAAACCAGCTGAAACGAAGCTGGACTGGAATTCTGGGAAATCTTGTTAAAGAGCTCCCAATACATTTAACTAATTTACAAACCATTATGTGATGACAAGCTTCCATCACAAGATCATTGTATAATAAATGAACAAAATAAACATGCATATGAGCAAGAAAATGTTCAAAAAAAAAAACATGCATATGAGCTGATAACTTAAACCAATACCAAAAACAGAGTAAGAACCAAAGCAAAACCTTCAAATTCTTCAAAGTCAGATTCAGAGTTTATAACCAGCTTCCTTCTCTTAACATTCTTCCAAATACTTCTCAAGAATTGCTACTGTTGCTTGCTCTGCGCTGAATTTAACAACAAAAACATACCCAATTTTACACGTATATTAGCTCAAGAACCCCACAAAGATTCAAACTTTGAATCCATGATCACATACCTTCCAGGTCTAATGACCTTTTACTTTCCTACTTTACTCAAATCAACTATTGTTGGTCCTTGACGCCCTGATGGAACCAAACCACCATCATAGACATAAGCACAATATTGCCAAAGATTTTCAAAATCATTCACGCAAACGCTGCTTCTATCACCTTTTAGATTAGCAATTGTAAGAGCCAATACACTGCCCAAACCTCTGGATACTTCCCTAATGAAATCACAATCTGGAACCCTTACTCCAATGGTATCAATCCCAGGTTTTAATGATCTTTCAAGAATGCTTGACTCACCTATTTAAAAAACCCGACAAGAACACTCTCACATCAAGAGATCATATTAATTAATCCAACCATGTTAAGAAAAAGATACAAACCTCGTTGAAGGACAAGAGTGACTGGACCAGGCAAGAGCGAGTGGAGTAAACCGTGAGGTATGTGATTTGTGGTAGCAACTCTCTCAATATCTGATACATCTCCAACGCAGATGGCTAAAGGGCATGTAAGCTTCCGGCCTTTGATCTCATATATCAGGTTCACCGCTTCAAAAGAATTGTTTTATGTTAGACAAACAACAATTTAGTTTGCTAAATTGTAAAGCTTAGTCAGCTAACTAGTGAAGATTTTGTTTATATTACCAAGCATCACAGGAGAATCCATACAGGGTATCTGTTGGCACAGCGATAACTTTCTCGGATTTGATTGCTTCTATAGCTTCTTGTGCATGGGCTTCAGTTTCGGGATGAACTGCTCTGATCCCTGCAAACACTCCAAGTCATATTCTTTTGTAATCCCAATCTCAATCTTCTACTGGGCTTAGCAACTGAAAAGAATCTTAACTCGGGGACTGCTAATACACATGCGACGAAGAAAGGATTGATGAATGCTCATTAGCTTTCATCTTCGAGGAGAGATCAAGGAGGCGTTGAGGAGAGCCAAGGACACGCAGATTGATTCCGTCCAAAGACATCATCAACTGGTTCCGACAAGGACAAGATCGACGAGAGATCACCGTCGATTGTTTTGAGAGAGAACACGAGACAGAGGCGAGAGCGAGAGAGAAAGAGACACGGAGAGCTCCATGACCGACACGTGTCTCATAAGCCACGGTGTTTGTGATGCTTGATTAAGCGTCGTGTCTTCCATAATTACATTATTTTTTATATTTTTTTTAATTCTTAAAAGTTTAAGCAACCCCTTAAGCCACCCGGTTAATGGTGCTCTAATTTGTCCCTTCTAATAAATTATTTAATTTTCTTTTTCTTTTAATTACAGAAATGTACGTAAATACAAAACTACCCTTGATGAATCTACAAAACTACAACCAAACCTAACCTAAACCCTCTAATCTGTTCCAAGTATTTACTTTTTCCCTTTAGTCAAAATTACAATTCCCCGATCCTTACATTTTCCCTTTTTTTTTTTGCTGCAATCCTAATCGACAGAAAAAAAAAATGCTTTGTTTTCCTATTCAAAATTAACTCTGAATCACTTCTCTCTTACTGTGAGATGTTTCACCGGTGATAAAAACCCATGAATTCGTGTTTCCTCTCTGTTCTATATAACTCCTGCCATGGAGTATAACAAAAAAATGTTTGTTTTCGCTATTTGAAAGTCAAAATCGATGAGTATTGATAAAGATAGTTGTAAGGTGTAAACATTAATTAAAAAAACCCATAAAAATTGAAGATCCGTTGAAGAAAATCCATGGCGGCCGCAGGAAAAAATCACAGAATCGACAAAACCCTAATAGGAAGAAGAAGAGATAATTACGAAACTATCATTCTTAATAATATAGAAAGAAAAAAATAATCCTAGAATCGAACCCGGGGGCTTCATAAAATAATACCACCAGACTGCAAGATACTTTGTGATATTTGCATAAACTAAATTTTCTATACACTTTTATTTGAAAATAAAATAAGCCAAACCAACAAAATGAAAAATTAAACCCAGGGCTGGCAAGATAACAAGCTAGGAACATACCACCAGACCACGTGTTATCTCTTTGGTCAATCTTTACTCTATTAAAAGGGCTTAATGCTCAACTCTCAGCTTATCCACGTTGGATTAAATAATCAGCCATTAGGAAAGAGCCAGCTGTCCATCTAACCTACGACATTATTCTTTTTTTTTTTTGGGCAAAACCTACGACATTATTCTTTCTTCAGTTTTCCTCGCCGCCGTATTGCTTACAATCTCCGGCCTTTTCCACTTCCTCCTTCTTCTTCGTTAGCTTTTTAACTTCTCCTCCTCATCTATATTTGCATTCAATCAAAGAAAACAACCCCATGAATTACTTTTCGACTTCCCCTCACACCCTATATATATACGCCAAGTCATGTCGTCATACAACTCGCTAATACTGCTAGAAGTTGTAGTAAAAATTGGTGGGGAATGTAAATCTATGTCCATGGCTAGGTAATACTTATGCTGCAGCTATATTATGTTTTCTGTCAAAGAAATTTTTTTAAGAGCCATAACAGACTTTCTTAGTGTTTGAATCCTCTTAAGTTATTTGCTCAGATCATGAGCCCAAGAGGAAAGAAAGAGCTGCAGAATCTGACACTCAGCCTTGAAAGTCAGGTTTCCATGTCAGTTCTGACTCTGTTGGCTTTTTCACATCGGATAGAGGAACACAAGGTAAAATTTAGTTTTAGGAGCCCTTCATTTGATTGGAATCTATTCTCCAGCTTATTCAGTGTTTTCCAGTTTAGTTATATCACAGTGCTGAAATTTTAATTAACAACTCAAGCAGTAAAATAGTTCTCAATCAAAGGACAGATGGGAAATTTGGAGGTCATCAAAGGAGACATGCACCAGCTGAAACAACAAGACTGACGAGAGTAGAGGAAGAAGACAATTAAGTTGATCCAAGTTTTGGTGAATAAAACAAAAACTATTACTATGCATCAGCATAATAAAAACGTCCGATTATGAATCAACGAATCTGCCAAAACCCGTGATTCAAGGTATAGTGAAGTGACATCATGGTTTTAATTTAGTAGTTGTATCTCTGAATGCTGTTAACCATATGGTCTAATAAATTCATAATTAATAATAGAAGAACCAGGAGGCTCGGCTGCAGCTCCCCCAAAGAATCTCTGTTACAGCACCAGTAATAAGGACGTCACGCAAAGACTTATTATTATGTTGCACTATTTTCACTATCCATATTTCACATTTATGCTGAGAGCGATTTGTTTGGTGGCGGTTTCAATGCAGTGATGCCGAACTTTGCTGAAGTCTACAGATTTATTGGAAGTGTCTTTGATCCCACCACATCAGGTCACCTCCACATATTGAAGCAGATGGATCCAATAAATATGGAGACGGTATGTGCAAAAATGTTTAATCAGACATAGTCTTTACGCAGAACCTTTGTTCTAACACTGCAATCCTGAGTTTGTATTTTTCTTTTGTGTATATATCACGTTCTTTTACTGATGTGAAACCTACTGTAAATCTGACAAGTCCAGAGTTTGGAGAACAAGTAAGTTGTGCCAAACTTATATTCCACTCTTCTCTATATACAGAAAGAGTTAAAATACTTTCTTGGTGGCCTGGTGGGTACTCAAGTGGTTTTTTCTTTTACTTATATGGTGCTTGTGATATGCAGAGGAAGTTGATATCATCATCCAGCAGTAAAGCTTTGAAATAGATATTGGAAAAAGCAACAAAGGACCTTGAAAGAGCCAGAGATACTCATTCACTGGAAATAGAGGTTGAGTTTTCATTGGATGAGCAAACGCACTGGTTTGTCCAAGCACGACCCAATATTGTGGAGAGCACCAACGGTAGTCATGATCTTCAGATGGTGCCTTTCTGTGCTTTTGTTGTGTTTGCAATATTTTGCATGTACTGTTCTGAATATCAAGCAATGGGTCATGCTAGACATTCTTTCTTTCTGGCTTATGCTTAGATTCATAGATGCAACATGAGGACAATGTTTTTATGTTTCGATATATGGTTTATGGCAATGGAGCTTTAGAATATATTTCATTTGCTCTGTTGGCATATTGTGTGATTAGTGTATATCCCTTATATGATCTGTGTGGGTGTATGGATAATGGTTTGAAAGGAAAAGGGGTAGAATCTGATTATATATCTTTTCGCTCTCTCCCTTCGTTTCTCTATGAGCAACAAATCATATCATACTTTCTTTTGGAAGAGATTACATTAAATCTGGAATAGAAAATAACATAGTGTCACTGGGGTGTTTGCTGTGTGTCTGATATTTTTCTTTGTTTTTGCACAGGTGAAAATTGGACTTAAGGTTCTCACACGTCCCATGGGTGACCGCTTGCCTCATATTTACCGAACCCTAGGCGATAATTACAGTGAAAGGCTTCTTCCTTCCATCATCCATGAAACTCTAAAAGCTATAGTGGCTCAGAACATTGCAAGCGAGCTCATCACTCAGAGAGAAGTATGTATCTCAACACTTCTTCTTCTACAATCTTTTCTATTCCTTGTTCGTAATGGTTGACTGTTTATATACTTTTCCCTAGATTGTGAGCAGAGAGATACGCAAGATTTTGACAGAGAGAGCTTCCAACTTCGACATGATGTCTCCATCACTACGCTCACATTTGGCAAAGAAGTTCACCGCTGCAATCAAAGCTAAACAAGTGGCTGCACAGGAAGCTGAACGTGCTAAGTTCATTGTGGAGAAAGCAGAGCAAGACAAGAGAAGTGTTGTTATCCGTGCACAGGTAAAAGATTGTTGATCTTATATAATCACAAAGATAGGTTTTGGGGGTTCTCTGCACTAAAGGATTAGGTTTGTATGTTGATTATTTGTGCAGGGAGAAGCTAAAAGTGCTCAACTTTGCGCTAAATTTTTTTTTTTAAAACAATGTACATTATATCACGCAAGAGATCAACAAAAGTTATGGACTCAGGTGAAAAAATGAAAATAAACCACTTCCTTAAATTTAGTGTTTTATCAGTTTTGTGTAATTATCAAAGAAATATGTGATATAAAATAAGATAATGAACTTACTACAAATTTATTAGAAATAATAAAGCAAAAAAATTATTTAATTATTTAACTGATAAATACTTATCAAAATAAAAATCTAAACAAAAGAAATGACCTAATAGTGAAGGAGAATTTTTTAAAATACTATATTTATGATTTTAAATTTGACAAATATGTTTCTTTATTTTTATTTTTTAAACTATATTTCTTATATCTGAAAATATATTCTTAGAGAAATTTTCTGGGATAACTCTTTTTTATTTTATTTTCACAAAAATAGCCCTTAAGGAGAAAAATGACCAAAATAAGTTTTTATTAAAGGGTAAATATGCACTTATATCCTTGGGTTGGAGTTTTTATTAACTAATATAGACTTAGGCTTTAGAGTTAAGGGGTGGAGTTTTGAGTTTAGGATTGCAAATTTTAAAAACTCAAAAATAAATATTACAAATTTCGAAATAAAAATAGGCTATTTTGGTCATTTATTTTTTTGAAAGCTATTTTGTGACAAAAACTTAGAAAAATATTATTTGAGAGTATTGCCCATATTTTTATCATGATTTGATTTCAAACAAAAATATTAAAATCTAAATTCAAATTTAAGTTAATTTTGAGATAAAATATATTTAAGATAGATACATGTTAATTATTTCAAATAACAAATAGATAAATTTTATAAAATGTTTTAAAGTCCACAGTTGTAAGAAATAGAAATTTATATAAACAGAGAACTTGCACACTTGCAAGCATAATTTATACCCTCATACATGCATATGATCTATCTAACCTTCTATTTTAAGTCAATATCTTATAACTAAATTTTTGTTATATTCTAATTTATAATATGAATAGTCTCAATTTTGAGTTCATTTATACGAAGAAATATTTAATTGTTTTTTCTTTGCCTTTCATACTAATTATTTTTTTGTTGGGTTAGTTTAAAGCTTAGAGTTGGTGAAATCTGAAAAATGTGTGGTATAAAATAAGATAATGAACAAGTTTATTCCAAGTTTATTAGAAAAAAAAAGCAAAAGTATTGAAAATTATTTAACCAATAAAACTTATCAAAATTCAAACAAAACAACTCACCTAATAGTAAAGGGAAAATTTTAAAATACTATATTTATGATTTTAAATTTAAAAATACTAAAAGTATTTTTGATTTGATTTCAAAGTAATAAATTAAAAATTAAACTAAAATTTAAGTTAATTATGTTTCTAGATAAACATATGTTTAAGATAGATATATGTTAATCATTTCAAATGCAAAATAGATAAATTTTTATCAAATGTTTTTTCGAAACTAAGGAGCAATTTAATAAAATACTTTAAAATCCATATTCTCAATAAAATATAAATTTATATTAAAAAGGGCTTACACACTTTGCAAGAACAATCAATATCCTCATACATAGCATACGATCTATCTAGCCTTTGATCTAAAGTCAATATCTCATAACTAAATTTTTGTTATACTTTAATTTAGATTACGAAGAGTCTCGATTCTCAGTTTTTCTTAAGATTTATTTGATTTTATTAAAATAATATAACTAGAAAAAAATTATAGGAAAAGGACGATTTGAGAAAATGAAGAACCTATAGTAAGATATTGTGTATATTATTAGTGTTGTTTAAAAAAAAATAAAAAAAAAATCCTATTGTATAGTTATTCAGCTTACATAAATAACAAAAAATTTCAAAATAAATAAATAAATAAAGGAATAATTTATAAGTAAATCTCATACAAAAATACTTTCAAAATTTTTATAATTTATAATATATAACCGCGCGTAGCGCGGTGAGAGACTCTAGTTTATATAATTACGTTTCATATATACGTTATTTTAAAAATAAAATAAAACCCTATTATTAGTCCTCGATTAATCTTCAAAAATTTAATTTTTCATTAACTCCTAGCAAAGTTTTGAACATAGAAAAAATCTAATCGAATTTTATCATTTGTTAGGGTTTGAATTAGATATTAGCAACAAAAAAATTCTTTTGTTGGTCGTATAGATCGCGAGTTTTTCTTTAAGAATTTATATTTTTATAATTTTTAATTATAAATCATACATTTTAAACATATATACCATAAACTAGTATTATATTTATAACTAAGTGAAGTAAAAATAAAAATCATACATTTTAAACATATATACCATAAACTAGTATTGTATTTGAACTACTAGTTTTACTAGGTATTACTAAGATAAATAAAAAAAGTTTCAAATATGTCTAAAACGTTTATAATATATTTAACACATGTTATTAAGGTAAGCTATGTCTAGAAAAAATTGTACTACTACATTTTATAAAAAAAGAGAGAACACTTGTTTGAATATTTACACTTAGTAGTACTCAAGGTTGTAGTAATATTTCATTCATCATAGTAATATTTTTGCTAATTTCAGCAATTTTTAGTAATACCACATTAAAAATCAAATTTATTAGTAATACCAATGTATTTAGATAGTTTTACATTGTATATAACACAATGGTGGGAAAAAACTCAGAAAATATGTATTTTCTATTTTTCATGTCATTATGGTCTTTCCATCAAGATGTTAGTATAGAAGTATAAAGATGTTTTCTATGGAAATGAGAAGTTTTTTATCAACTTGAGAAATTAAAAGTTTCTTTATGTCTAATTTGACAAATAAACACAAATATGTATATATAATCTCGTAGTATATGAGATACATCTTCTAAAAATAATTATTAAGACGAAAAGTAAGATTCTTAGAAAATACGCCTAATACATAGTAGTTCCAAGGTATTCCAAGGTAATTCAAGGTAGTACAAGGTAGTTCTTAGTAGTTCATAAAATATAAAAATAAATGAATAAAATATTTTAAACATGTAAAGTTTATGTGAACAAAATAATCCTAACTTAGAAAAATTAATTTATTTAAATTTTTATTACATTAATTTTAAAAATATAATTGTGACTATTAAAATATATATTTTACTAAATTTATATATTTTAATATTTTTAATCAAATCCAGTTAAAAAGGAATAATTTTTAAAAATTAGAATTTATAGAATTTTTTTTAATTTATTTTTGATTAAAATATCTTGAAGTACATATATTATTAATTTTATTATTTATAATATTTTTATATAACCAAAATTTATAGAAATATTTACATAAGAAGTATCTTATTTTCTACAAAAATATGATACTATTAATATAAATTTGTCTTAAATATATAAGAAATTATATATAAAATTATAGAAATTGTTATAAATTATTAAAATTACCTAAAATCATGGAAAATATGACAAATCATCAAACATCAAATTCACTTCTTAAATAATAGTATAGATTTTCTACTTGTTAATTTAAATTTTATAATATAAAATTAAATTTTTAAGATAAAAAAATAATACATAAGAATTAACTTATTTTATAAAATATCATATTATTAATATAAGTTAGTTTTAATTATATAATCAGTAATAAGCAAAATTAGAGAAATTCTGATAAATAATCAAAATTACCTAGGATCATGGAGACAAATCAACAAATTCACTTTTCAAATAATTGTTTTGATGATTTATATTAAATTTTAATGATATAATTTGTCTATCTTAATTTTAAGTTTTATAATACGAAAATATATTTTCAGCATAACAACATAATACATAAAAATTATCTTATTTTATAAAGATATAAAATTATTAATATAAAGTTGTTTTAGTTATATAATAAATATAATAATTTAATATATTTTTAACATAACAACATAATACATAAAAATTATCTTATTTTATAAAGATATAAAATTATTAATATAAATTTGTTTTAGTTATATAATAAATATAATATTTTTTTATCTTAATTTAAATTTAATTTTTATATATAATATATATTTCAAGATAAGAACATAATTCACAAGAATTGTCTTATTTTCTTAAAATATGATATATTCTTATTCGTTTATTTATATATAAATATTAAAATATGATAAATAAAAAAATTGTCTTATTTTATAAAAATATAAAATTATTAGTACAATTTTTTTTTGTTATATAATAAATATAATAAGTTTTCTATCTTAATTTAAAATTTAAGTTTCATATATAAAATATATTTTAAGATAACAACATAATTCACAAGAATTATCTTATTTTTTTAAAATATGATATATTCATATAAATACGTTTTATTTATAAATAAATTACATATAAATATTAAAAATATGATGAATAAAAAAAATTATCTAAACTTATGGAGAATATGACAACTAAGCAAAATTTTCTCAAATAATAGTATAGATATGCTCCGAAATTTCTTTAATTTTTTTGTCTCTTGAAAATACTATTAAGAAAATTAATGTCAAAAGTATAAGAATGTTTTATGAAACTATATAAGCTCTTAAAATATCGTATGAACCATTTAAATTTTTTAAATGTGTATATATAAAAGCTTATAAACAACTATCTCATAGTTCGTAAATATGTATAGTTATAAAGCTCAATTAAAAACTCAATAAATTTTTTTTTAACTATCTTAAAATAACATTTTCGCATTTTAATAGTTTTGTCCCATGATCTGTTTATATTATTAAACCTTTTAATACAGTTTTTGTGTACACATCTGCTAATGCTAATAAAGACCAAAAAAGTAATTTATAGTTTCTGGAAAATTGGGATGAATCAATTTTCATACGAAACAACAATAAAAAAATTAATACACACATTTTGCTGCGATTAGTCCAACATTATATGTAAAATTTACATGCTCTTGCTTCCTCCAACTTCTTGAAAAGGCAAAGGTACAGACTTGAAGGCTCTGTATTTCCCCACATTGTTCAAATGCTCATTCTCCAACCTGATTTGCATGCACACAAAAAGTTCATCTTATGATCTCTTTTTCCGAAACTTCTGAAATGTTGTTTTTAGTAAAAATAGAACCTGAAGAAGTTCCAAATGCCACGACGAACAATCTCTAAAATGGTAACAACAGCAACCAAAGCTCTTCTGTGCAAAAATGGAGCTTCTCTAATCCCAAGAACCGTCTGCATCCAAGCCAGCCTCAGCACCACATTCACCACCTTCATTTACAATATCTCAATTAATAAATAATAATATTCCACGGAAAGAAAAGCTTATGTGCTTGTTTTTACCATGGCAATGAAGTATATGCTTTTGTAAGGGATTAAGAGTTTGTCACGAAGCCAAGGGTTTTTGGAGTTGCGGTTCATTAGACCCCAATCCCTGAATATATCCCAATAAGTATTGAACAATGTGGCAATGGTTGACGTGGTTACAGCCACCGTAAGCCAGTAGGTCCCTCTCTTTGTTTCAAAGATTGTTCTAGCCGCAACCGCTAATATTGTCGAGAGATATTTTAGTGCGTTTAGGCCATTCATTTTGTCCTTCTCCTCAACCAACCTCCTTATACACTGCAACCAAACAAAAGAAAGTTTGAAACATTTTGAAAGGATGTAAACATTGATTACTTTACTTCAAGACCGGTTCTAGGCAGAGCCACATTAAACATTTGCTTTGGCCCCCCGATTTAAAACGTTATTATTATACATAAATTGAAATATTTTTTATTAAGATTAACATAAATATATTTATGGCCCTCTTAAATCTCAATCCGCCCTTGCTTCACTTACAAGTATATATTTTTAAGTATGTACTTAGTACCTGAGCAAAGCGGAACCAGTAAGGAATGATGGCAACAACAAGATAGAGTTCTTTGTAAATTTCACTCTCATAGCATGTGTGTGTTCTTTTCTTGAAATCTCCTCCCCAACCATAATAACATACATAAAACAACAAGCTTCTGAATGTTTGCACCTGCGAAACCAAAACCTAATGATGTTCCGATGAAAACACAAACTTGATAGCTGAATTCTAAACCAAGCAACTCGTTACCTGAGTGGTCAACTGATCTGCGAGAAAGAAATCCGGGAGAATAACCTAACAATAGAAAACAAACTCAAAACTATATGTAACATCTTTAGAAGAAATTACTTGGGTTGCAAGTTACCTTGTATAGTAGGCTTAAAAGAAACAGAGATTACTTGGATATCACGTTACCTTGTATAGTGGGCTTAAAAGACAACGAAAGGCGCACCCAATGAAGAAATATCTGCTTGACCGATATATTATATTGAGTGGACAAAACAGAGTAATCATGAAGCACTGCGACAATAGCCAAAACAAAACATTACACAGCTAACAATAAGGATATATATTGTTACTTCTTAGACATCAATATCAATGACTTAAAGAACTTACCATGAGAAGACCTAAAGGAACAAGCTCAGTGATGACACTAAACTCTTTGGTTCTCGGATCCATCTCCATGTCAAGATTCGAGATGACTCCTCCAAATGTTAGAACTGCTAGACCAGAGGCTAGAAGAAGAACTTCTCTGTAACCAAGATCAGTCCCTTGGTCAAACCCGAAGATAAAGGGGTAGTTAACTCTATATCGACTCCAGAAATATATGTCTCCTGCATACATAAGCAAATGAACCGCAACGAAAGCGAACATGCTGCGGAAATAACAAGCATTAGATAATTGAGTTCCTCTGCGTTCAGAAGTAATGAATGTAACGTTATCAAGAACCTGTAAAGAGGGAAGATGTTCTCCATGTATTGATGTCTGCCTTCACTTTTTGTTATGCCTCTTATATGTACAAGAACCGTTATCGCAATGGCTAGAGCTACGGCGCAACCAGAAAAGAAACCTGTAGATGATGATGATGTTTTAGTCTACTAGAAAGAACATTAGGTTTAGTCATTTCATAGGTTAGAAAAGAAAGGCTTTTAAGTACCGAGGAAGTATGTGATTCTGTGTTTCTCCCTCTTAGCTTTAGTCCTTAAACATTTCATTCCTTCACGGTGATTTCCATGGGCGAAGTGCTTAATAAACGTAGCCTCCACTCTTGACATGAGCCTTGAGACCTAAAAATGTAAAGATAAGTCTTGTTTTTTTGAGTAACATTTAATAAGAGATTGGTTACTTGTATTAACCTCATCGCAGCTTCCTAAATAAGAATGATCCACTGTATGTAGATAAGGCTTAGATGCATTCCTAGAAGTAGTCTGTGAAACATTACAAAGATATCAGTATCAAACCACACCAAGAACACATGCAAAATGAACATGATGTGATTACAAACCTTGTCATACTTCTTTAGTATTTTTGAAAAAGCCAACTGGTTCAAGAAGCTGCAAACCAGAGTGTGAGAGATTATCAAAACCATATTTTTTGAGAAACTATAGACCTAAGGAATTTTAATTCTTACCAATAACTCTTAAGGAACCTAAGTTTCTGGTAGAACTCAACAAAAGCGCGGTCCATAAGCTCCTCGGCTCTTTTAAGCTCCGGTTTGCTGAAGGTTTGCTCAGTTGAAAGACCCATGATCATGCACTTAAGCATTGACAATGGAGTCTCCGGTTCGATCTTGAGCTTTATATGATCCAGCATTTCTACTGGAGCAGGTTTAAAGACTTTCTTATCTTCTACTTGTTCCATTTCTTTAATCACTTCCATTGGGGAAATGGCTATAAATATAAAACATTCACATAGATTACACATGAGCTTAACATTAGGATAATCACTTAATGCAGATTAAACATCACTCAGATGGCTAAAGTTTAATTCTGGAATATCTACAAAACACTTCAAATAATTTGATTTGGATGTGTTTGAAATATAACTAAAAGATTAAACGTAAAAAAATTTTGTAATCCCCCTAAGCTCAAATATATTGTGCCATTATTTTTCATACACATTTTTATACAACTTAAATTGTTGCATAAAATTGTGATGCCCTAAGCGACCGGTTCATTTGCCTATGTTACGGACCGGCCCTGTGGTATATCCACAAAAATGTCTTGGTCTCTCGGGAGTTAAAATGAAATATATGGAGATAAACCTGGAGTCCTGTTGTGTGGAGAAGAAGGAGCACTCGAGATACTACTAATGTCGGGGAAGTCAACATTTGGATTCTCAACCTTAACTCTGAGAGCAATCAAAACGTTTAATTGTCTACTAAGCTCATCGGCTTCCTCCATCACGCTCTCCACTTTCTGCTTATAAAATCTCAAAACCTTGTTGAACTCTCCATCAAGCCGCCGGAAAAACTGAACCTCCATCTCTCCTCCTTCCTCTGCGGAACATAGAAACGTCGTGTTGTAGCTGCCCGTCTCGTCCTCGTTGATGAGAATGACTTGATCCTCGCCCTCCTTACCGCATAGCGCTAGCGTGCATATACATAGCAAGTGTCCACAGAGATAAAGATATTACTGCATGGTTTGAAGATCTTCACGAGGACATGAACTTGGTCAGTCATACTTGCATTTATTCAAGTTAATGTCTATTGAAAACAAAGACACAAGTAATAGCAACTCTCTTCTTATTAACCTGAGAAAATATCTCAAAACTCAAGTTCTCAAACAACACAAATTCCCCTTAGTTTATGCCATGAGCTCGACATCTACTTATATAGGGTGTTACAGATAATTCCTAATCTTATAAGACAACACAATTAGATAACTCCTAAATAACTTGTGTTTCNTATCTCGGTAGATTAGGCTTTATCTTGTGACTCAAGTTTCCTTTTTATTCTTCAAGCTTAAACCAACAATCTCCCCCTTAAGCTTGAACTCCATTTTTGACAAATCTTGAACTCCAATAAGATCTCTCATCTCTTGAAACTTGATTCTTCCCAATGACTTTGTTAAGATATCTGCCTTTTGCTCATTCCCAGGTACATGCTCAACCTCAATCAAACCCTTCTCCACACATTCCCTAATAAAATGGTAGCGTGTGTGTATGTGTTTTGATCGTCCGTGGAACACTGGATTGCGAGTGAGTGCAATAGCTGACTGGTTGTCTATTCTAATGACTGTCTTCTCGTACAAGGTTTCACTGATCTCTCCAAGTAAATCCTGCAACCAAATCGCCTGTCTAGCAGCTTCCGTTCCAGCCATGAATTCCGCTTCACATGATGATAATGCCACTGTATCTTGCTTTTGCGAGCACCATGTTATTGGACTTTCACCTAAGTAGAATACATGGCCTGTTGTACTCTTACCATCATCCGGATCGACGTTATGACTACTGTCACTGAAGCCAATAAGCTTTGGTCTTGAGTTAGTACGCTTGAATGTTAAACCAAAGCTTGTAGTTCCTTGTAGGTATCTGAGACAGTGTTTCATAGCAGCTGCGTGTGACTCTCTTGGTTGTTGCATATAACGGCTTAAGACTCCCACACAGTATGACAGATCAGGCCTTGTGTGAAGCAGGTACCGTAGACATCCGACATTCCTTCTGTACTTCGTACCATCAGCTTCTGCCTCAGTCTCAGACTTCGAAAGTTTGATGTTTTGCTCCATTGGCGTGTGAGCTAAATTGCAGTCCTTCATTCCTGCTTCTGATAGTATCTTCAACGCATAATTTCTTTGACTCAAAGTGATTCCTTCTTGGTGTTGAATCACTTCTATTCCCAAGTAATACGTTAACCTTCCCAAATCGCTCATATCAAACTTTGCACTCATCTCTTTTTTGAACTTATCAATAAGATCAATGCTTGTTCCTGAGACAAACAAATCATCAACATAGACTGCAACTAGGAGAAGATCGTTACCCACTCTCTTGTGATGTACTGATGGCTCCTTCAAGCATCTTTTAAACTGTAGTTCCCTCAGTACTCCGTTCAGTTTGTCATTCCATGCTCGAGGTGCTTGTTTCAAGCCATATAGAGCTTTATTGAGCTTATACACCTTACTCTCGAATCCCTTCACTTCAAAGCCATCAGGTTGTGTGACATACACGGTTTCCTTAAGTTCACCATGGAGGAATGCCGTTTTTACATCGAGATGATGTATCTCCCAACCATTAGAAGCTGCAAGACTAATGAGCAAACGAACTGTTTCAATTCTTGCGACTGGAGCAAACACTTCGTCATAATCTACTCCATATCTCTGAACGTATCCTTTTGCAACCAACCTAGCTTTGTGCTTGTTAATACTTCCATCTGAGTTCCTTTTCAGCTTAAAGACCCACTTCAAGCCTATAGCTTTTGCTCCATGTGGAAGATCAACGAGTGTCCATGTTTGGTTCTTTTCTATAGACTTGATCTCATCTTCACATGCAGCCATCCATTCCTGAGATGTTTTAGCTTCATAGAAGTCTCTCGGCTCATTGTTCAAGCACATCAATAGGTACTCTGCCTCTTCTTCTGCAAATAGCACGTAATCATCGAGATACTTAGGCATTGTACTCTGTCTACTTGATCTTCTCAGAACTTGCTCAATCTCCTCTCCACTTTCCTCACTTATATTTTCTTCTGTTACTTCTGGAGCAGTAACTTCATTCTCTTCTTCCTTAGCTGCGTGTATCTCCTGAGTTTTGGTATTCTCTTCCCTTGTCGTCTCAGGTTGGTACCTTGTAATGCCATGATNAGATACTTAGGCATTGTACTCTGTCTACTTGATCTTCTCAGAACTTGCTCAATCTCCTCTCCACTTTCCTCACTTATATTTTCTTCTGTTACTTCTGGAGCAGTAACTTCATTCTCTTCTTCCTTAGCTGCGTGTATCTCCTGAGTTTTGGTATTCTCTTCCCTTGTCGTCTCAGGTTGGTACCTTGTAATGCCATGATTGCCAAAATCTCCAATGTTTATATCAAAACTTCCAGCTTCTTCTCTTTTAGAACCAGATTGACTCCAGTTCCACCCTTTGCTCTCATCAAACACTACATCTCGACTCACAACTATCTTCTGAGCTTGTGGGTCATACATTCTGTATGCTTTAGACCCGGGTTCTGTTCCAAGATGTACCATTATGCAGGATCGATCTTCAAGTTTCTTTAGATGAGGCTTGACTGTCTTCACATAACCAATACATCCAAAGGTTCGCAGATGACTAACATTAGGCCTCTTGCTCCGTAGTGCTTCATATGGAGTCCTATCTTTAAGTGATCTCGTGGCCACTCGATTTAGTAGGTACGTGGAGTGCCTTGTTGCTTCTCCCCATAGATAGTTTGGCACTCTCATGTGTTTCAATATGCTCCTAGTCATCTCAAGCAGTGTCCTATTTCGTCTCTCAACCACTCCATTTTGCTGAGGCGTATATGGAGCTGTGAGGTGTCTTTTGATTCCTGAGTCCTCGCAGAATGAGTTGAATTCATGAGATACGAATTCGCCTCCCCTGTCTGTTCTAAAGACTTGTATACTCGCACCAGTGTCTTGTTCTACCGTGGTTTTAAATCTCTTAAACTTTTCAAAAACCTCACTCTTCTCTTTTAAAAGAATAGTCCACATATACCTCGAGTGATCGTCGATGAGAACAAAAATATACTTGTTCCCAGCTAACGTACTTGGTGATATGGGACCACAGAGATCACCATGTATGAGCTCTAGTATCTTATCAGCTCGATATGTGGTGGCCTGAGGAAACACCTGTCGCACCTGCTTTCCCAACATACACGAGCTGCATATCTTCTTTTCAGTGTCAATTTGTGGTATCCCAGTTACTAGCTCTCGCTGCACCATAGACTTTAGTGTTTCTTGATTTATGTGTCCGAACCTTGCATGCCATCTGACTGTTTCACTAACAGTTGTCGTGAGTAAGCACTTTGTGTCCTTGATCCCCATATGAACTTTGTATAAACGGTTCCTTGATCTAACCGCTTTAACAAGTAACTTCCCTTCTCTGTCGTGCATTGTTAAGTACTCTCCTTTTAGTCTCACCTCGCATCCAGACTCCGTTGCCTGTCCCAAACTGATGATACTACTTCGCAAATCTGGTATATAGTACACATTGTTCATCGTTCTTGACTCTCCATCACGATCTATAAATTCAATAGACCCTTTCCCTTTGATGTCTATACGTGAATCATCCCCAAACTTTACTTTTCCAGTGATAGATTCATTCAATTTAGCAAAGTATCGTCGATCCCATGTCATGTGATTGCTAGCGCCGTTGTCAAGATACCATAAGTTTCCTTCACCTGTACTTGACTCATACTTGCTTGGCACTATTTTTCCTTCGTTTAAATAGACCACTTCGTTCAACATGAGCTCATCAGCATCTTGTGTGTCGTCTTTATCTGTTTCTTGAGTTTGTTGAAGCTTGAGCAAACGATCCGGACAGGTAGAGGCGTAGTGGCCTAATTTGTCACACCTAAAGCACATAACTCTAGATATGTCTCTTCCTCCATTAGCCCTACCTCGACCCCTTCCCCTGTTAAACCGTCCTCCACGACCTCTATATCCTCTGTAATCTTCATTATAGTCACGGGAGGTCTGTGTTTGATCGTTTGCATACATCAATTTGCTCTGCTCCTCCTCTGTTTCTTCTTCCTCTGAAATACGTTCTTCATATGCTTTTAGCCGCCCTATGATGTCTTCAAAACTTGTAGTTTTCAGATCCAACACTTGTTCTAGTGACGCCACCATGTGTATGTATTTCTTTCTCGGAAGACACTTAAGAAACTTCTTAACAATTTTTGTCTCAGCAATCTCTTCTCCTAAAGCTAGAGACCTTGATTGTATCTCTGATAACTTGCCAGCGAAGTCATCTATCTTCTCGCTATCTTTCATCTTTAACCTGTCGAATTCTGCCATTAACGTCTGCAACCTCGCTTCTTTGACCCTCTCTGCTCCAACGTATCTTGCTTTAATGGCATCCCATACCTTCTTGCCCGTATCTAATTCTCCAATTTGCAAAACGAGTGACTCCGGTATTGATTGAAATAACAGAGCTATTGCCATGTCATTCTTCTCTATGTCTTCTGTTGCTGTCTCAACAACTCCCCATGCTTTGTGGACCTTAAGCAGAGATTTCATCCTAATAGCCCATACAGTATAGTTCGTTGGATTCAACATCGGACACTTGATCGATGAAGCTTCACCTTTTGTTTTCGCCATAGTTGTTATCTGAAGGTCTCCCATAACTCGTGACCTTTGCTCTGATACCAAATATTGAAAACAAAGACACAAGTAATAGCAACTCTCTTCTTATTAACCTGAGAAAATATCTCAAAACTCAAGTTCTCAAACAACACAAATTCCCCTTAGTTTATGCCATGAGCTCGACATCTACTTATATAGGGTGTTACAGATAATTCCTAATCTTATAAGACAACACAA